AAAGTGAGGAAGCAAGCACAGACCTGCACGGGATGGTACGACCTTGGTACACGGCGTACACGGCTAAGTCAATAAACTGTGTGACGCAACGTTACTAGTGCGTTGGACTGACGGAGAGAACCGATACGCGGCACTCTCTACCGTACTCTCTCGCTCGCACACCTCCCCCCATAGACCACTGAAATTCCTCTGCACGCGTCAACACCGACAGAGAGCACCGATACCGCGGCTCACTCTACCGCTCTCGCTCGCACGCCGTGACGTCACCCGATTCCCGGAATCCCGCGGCTACGAGATGGCTCATTACGGTAAGCCATTCTCGCAAGGGAAATTGTAAGCCGCCGGCCAAAAGGTAGATTTGATAGACTATTTATGAAACTACATCTATTCTGAATTTATCTGTTACAAATACACAAATATAAGGCAAGACATAAAAACGAATAAAACAAGAACATGTAAAAAGTAACATGAATAAAATGTCCGTTAACGATGCATTTAGAATAAATTGTCTTGTAGTTAAGTGAAAAAAATATATACTTTTCCGTTTCATGTTTCATGACTGTCATATTTATCCCTTAACCTTAAACTGAAGCATCGGATATTTTGATTCCCGTCAAAGCACATAGATATACGCAGTATGAATGGAATATATGACACTTCATTTGTGCTAATAATACTCAGAATTCATGCTTTATCGGTAACGTCGAGTATTGACATTCAAATGGTAACAAGGCTACGTAGCCTTGCGAACGTGGGACAGAAAAAAGCATTGGATGTATTAAGTTTATCTTTGTACCTCGTCTAAATAGTACTAATTAGCCAGTAGCTTGAGCGTTTTGGCATAATTAGCATCACGGGTTGTTCTGAAACTATAAAGCTTTAAATATACACTTTTAGTTTAACATGATAGCGCCATCAAGTGTAAAATGCCATGTATTATTTGTCTAGTAGTTTCAGCATTTTGTCTCAAGTGACGCCACAGGTGTTTTAACCAAACTGTTCATTACATGTCTAAAAAATTAAATATTAATTAAAAACGCCACAATTTAGAATGATTAATATAGAATATTAATTCAAGCAAATTTAACAAACAATACAATGTATATATTTTTTGTTATATGTACGTTTGCACATAAAATATGATGAATACTGTTTCGATGTTTTATAATTTATTGTGGCATGTATTTGATTAATACGAACTTTAGTGTGTATTTTGTTAACTGATAAATTAGTATAAACACATCAATAATTTTTATATAATTTGTTATTTATTCGCTCATACGTAATAATTCTAGACTACCTGATTGGTTATTTGAATAGATGTATTTCATGTCGGAAAATGGCAACGCAGTCGTGTTTAAGGTCCACCATTAGTATTCGCTAAAAAGTATGATGTTAAAAATGTTATTAGCCTTGTATTATTGATAACATTGTAAATACATATATAGTTTCACTATTCAGTAGGTATATAAATTAAAAAAATTGTATTATTTTCTATTGATTCATGGCATATATTGTTACAGTTGTACAGTGTTATTACTATTAAGTGGAATAAGAATAGAAGAACTATGGAAAACACGAGCGAAACAGATGAACAAAAGAATTTTCTGGAGGAATGTGAAAACGAATTCAAGGATCGTTATACAGACAAAGATAGTGAATTTATGAAGATTAAAAATATGACATTGAAAAGGCCACCAATTGTGGATCCTTGGTATACACCACGTTATGGTCAAGGAAGACGTAATCATTCTTGGGACAGACGTAATAATTCTTATGAAAGACGGAATAATTCTTGTGAAAGACGGTATAATTCTGGTGAAAGACGTTATAATTCTTGGGAAAGGCATAATAATGCTTGAGTTAGATATGAAAGGGACAGATGTGACTGGATATTTTGATAGACTATTTTGTATGAATTCATTTCATTTTGTATATAGACTGGCATGTAACATTGTAAAATAAAATGTTCATAATAACATCAGAGTCCTTTCCCCTGCATCATTCTGTGATCACAAATGAAATTAATAGTTCTAAAAAAGATGAATATATTTTTATTGTTCGTTGTATTTAAAATGGTATGCGAATTCTTATAATCATAATATTATCGACCTGCAATTGTTAACTACAGATAATTATTAATAAGTTTGTCACGTTAAAATCACGTGCAAAATGATGAAAAGTATACATCCAAATGTTCACGGATGAGGTACGTAAATAGGTAGCTGTTTTATAATGGCTACAAGCATAAATACATACGAGTAGTATTAATAATACCTACTTGTTATACGTATATATAGAGGCGCGTACGTCTACTAAATGAAATAATCAGCTGTTACATTGTAGATATGTGAGACACGTGTTTTTTTTTGTCTATCTGTCGCGATTAAATTTGATTTAATAAAACAAACCGTTCAGACGCGTTAACGCTCGGTTGGTGTACCCAAAGATTATATATCAATTAACGAAGCAACTGCTCTTCAAAGTGAAGTTGATATTCGTTCGTATCCGAGCGAATCAAGAAGTTATTAACGACAGTATACACATAAGTAGTGCACATCAATCGGGGACTGCATTTATATTTAATTATTGATTGATGCAGTGTGCATTCAGCGTGGCCAACACGATCAAATATGCGGGAGCCTGATACGGATACATACAGTAAGCAGCTGCAATGACGGAAAGTTCAAGCGCTTTTTAAATTACCGACAGTGAGTTCAGCGAGACCGCGATACACATTTGAATGAGACATGCGTATGCGCGGATTTTTCAAGGAATTTGTCGGATGTAAAATGCTTTGTTGCGATAAACTTTGTTTGCAATACATTTAACCAATTCATTCAGGAATAGTGACGTGTCCTTTGTTGAAGAAGTAGTATTGTAACATATTTTCTTGCTGGTGAGTGTACAATTATAATTCTATTACATATTTTTACAGCTATAAACATGTTGGAATAAGTGGCAGAAGTTTCATACAGATATCATGCATGTAAGCTATCATTCATATTCGTGAACCATAATTAGATGAACTCATACCAGTTTCCTCTAGTCAGTTTTTTTTTCAAGCACATATAGAAGGAGGAATTAATGTGTATATTTCTGTTATCAGAAAGAAGCAGAACAAAGATATAATGCTAATGAGTCACATGAGATATTCTCAACGTGTCTAGCTTATTCTTAAAAATATAATAGGTAATATGATATGAAATAAATTATACAATAAACCAAGCAGATGTTTAAGATTTGTTTTTGATGTTGTACAGTAGGGGAATTATATTTTACTGATGTTCCTTCTAGATTTATTGTGTTGCTTTTGAAGCTAATGAGATTAAAAAGATATTAAGATATATAATTGAAGTATACATATATTATACTTTGTTATCTTATATAGGATTTATATGATAATCTTTAATGGATTGGATCAAGAAATTACGTGGTAAAAGGTATGGCAAAATAACAAATTTTTACATATATAAATATTTCAAATTGCAAAACATTAACATATTATTACAGAACCATTGTTCCCACTGATGATGATTTAGAAACTGTTACTGAGAGGAAGGAGAGATGGAGGAGCATCTACGCAATTTACTTTACTATGTTTCTTATGTCTCTTGGATTCAGTATTATACTCACTGGAGTATGGCCATATCTTAAGAAGGTGACTCTGATACAAAGACAGAATAACTAAGTTGTAATATATTTATACTAACATATTAATATTACAGTTCGACAAAGAAGTACACAAAGAATTCCTGGGATATGTTATTGCAGCTAATCCTTTGGCACAAATGTTGTTTTCACCTCTACTAGGATGGTGGGGAGACAAAAGGGGTTCCATAAGATTGCCTCTCTTATCAACATTAGGTCTTTTTACATTTGCCTCAGGGATTTACAGTATTCTTGAAATATTACCAGGCGATCGAAAAATGTTCATGATAATTGCACGATTCTTAGTTGGAGTTAGTTCTGGTTAATATTTTATTCAGTTCTGATGTGTAATTACTGCACACACAATACTGTATTAATTATACTAGGGAGTACTGTTGTAGACATCTTTAAGCTAATAGAGGTGTCTTTACTACTATACCTTATAATAATCAACACAATTCTTTTAACCCTTGGAAGACGGACCTGGATCATTTCTGATCCACACAGAAATCTCGTATAAATGTTTCATCAAAATTTTTAGCCTGTGTTTTAACGCAGACTTACAGTCTAGGTCTCGAGTCATCCATGTTCGTCATCTGCGGATTAAATATAATACTATGATATTATTTTTAACAATGATGTGGCACATGAAAGTACTTAACACAAAAATGTCTTAATCAGTGCTCCTTAGTATAGTCTTCATCTTACTAATGTATCAATACTTTATTTTTTTAGCTAATATTGCAGTAGCAAGGTCTTATCTTTCTGCAGCTACAAAGTTTGAAGAAAGAACACATGCAGTCTCTATGGTATCTCTTGCACAGGTAGTGTAATTTAATATTTCGTTTTTACCCGGTTAAACGAGATCGATTGTGTAATTTGTTTTATAATTTATTAGGTATTGGGATTTGTAGTAGGTCCTGGGTTGCAAGCTGCAGTCACACCCCTCGGAGAGAATGGTTTTTATTTTCTAAATTTACCTGTTAATATGTATACTATGACTGGTTGGATAAATGTTATAATGGGAGTTCTTAATTTTGCTTTGTTTCTTCCATGGAATTTCAAGGAACATAGGATTGCTATACGTGAAGCTATGAGAGATCAGGGAAAAACAACAGGTAAAAATACCTCGAATTAAGTAATAACAGTAGAACTAAACTTGAGCAAGATAACCGAACGATTTCTGTATAAATTGCAGAAAAGGAAACGTTGAAGTCTATAAAACCTGATTATATAGCATCTTGGACGTTAATTTGTGCTTTTTTTGTCTTGGTATTTAATTTCGTCCTTCTTGAAACGTTAGTATAATAATTTTGATTGATTTCTTTTTGTGTTCATCATGTTTAACATTTTTCTATTTTCTCATTAGTCTGGGAACTCCTTTAACTATGGAACAATTTGCTTGGTCAGAGAAAGAGTCTTTATATTACTTAGGTCTGTTATTAAGCATCGGTGGTATTGTATCTTGTATCACGTTTACCATGATTGGACCCTTATGTAAAAGGTACGAATATTTTACGAAAAACAAATTTCGTAAATAATCTGTTTTACCTGTTATTTAAATGTTATCAGATTTAACGAACGTAAGGTGATATTGTGGGGTGGATTTTTCTTTATGATAATTGGAAGGATACTGTGTATCCCATGGGGACCTGATCCACCGCAAATCGCGTATGTACAATGTAAGTACATCTAAATTTTAATATTTCATTTGTACATAAAATAGTTTCTGAACGTTGTATTTCAATCGTACAAATTTGTATCATACCTTGTAGCATTTAATAATGGTACAAGGAACATCAATGGTACAGAATTGATGCCGGTGGGATGCCCAAGTACTCAAGAGTGGTGTTTCTATACACCGCGACTCACGGTCACACAATTTCTGATTGGCTTTGCTTTCACCACTACGGGCTATCCGTTAGGCGTCACCTTAATACAGACAATCTTTAGTAAAGTATTAGGACCGCGACCGCAAGGTATTTGGATGGGTTTTATGACAGGTGCTGGATGTGCATCGCGTGTTTTAGGTCCAGTGTGTGTTAGTGTAATTTACACACGTTATGGAACGTATCATACTTTCGGTATTACTGGTGTAATGTTAATATTGTCCATGATATGGTTACAAATCGTAAACAAGCGTTTAATACCTCCCAAAACAGTGGCTTTGCAAGATGAACCGGAACCTGATGCAGAATTTCCATTGGTTCACCTTAATTCTAACGATACTCAAGAGACAAATGCCGCTCAAAAGATTAATATAACTTCAGAATGTGATAAGGTGTAAGAGTGACTACATTATAAGTGCAATTTTATTTTTTATAATCTTATATACGGAATCGTTCGTGACTGCTATTAGAAGTTGGTTAACGATATAATGATGGTAATATGAAGAAATGCAGGTATATTTTTTATGAATATTTACACAATTCTTATATATATATATATAAGGTGTGTTAATAAAAATGTGAGTTCCACAAGATGGATTCTAAATATATGCCGAATTAAGACGAAAATCAAGAATAACGAAATTGCGATCGAGGCTTCATTTCCGAATTATTAATTGGTGAAAATACGGGTAAAATACGCGCGAAATACGTCTAGAGCAGTGAGTTATACTACTCGAATAACCGATTCCAAGCTAATACACGGGCTTAATCGATGACTTCAAGTGAAACTAATAAATTAAGTAAAATGAAATGAATGAAACCAACTCGTGAAACAGTTGAAGAGCGCTCCTCTCAACTAGAACTACCCCTAGTACTTTTAAGAATTAATAATTCTGAAATGAAGCCTCAAATGTAATTTCGTCATTCTTTTGATTTTCGTCTTAGTTTGGCATGTAGAATCCATACTGTAAGTGTCCCACATTTATATTAACACCCTGTATTTTATACGTATAAATACGTGAAGATGTATCAACCAATATACATGCAAATAACGGAAAAAAGTGATAAGGGTGATGATTTTAGGTAAAAGTAAACAAATTCTTATAGGAATAAAATCCTTTTTAATGTTAATCTATTTATATTGGCATCTTATACAGAAAGAAATGAGATTGTCGAATTTTAGACAGGATATAGTATGATATTATCATGAGTACAAAAGTATACAAATGATCATGTATGCTACGAGTATTATACAGATTTAAATCATTCAAGTTGCTCATATCTTTAGAAGTTGAAGAAATAATTGTGGTGTACTGTGAAAGACTGATATTTGGATGAATTTAACAAAGTTAACCTTGTAAGATTAAAACTTTCAAGCGTCTTCCATTAAATAATTTGACTTGGATGTACTTATAATTGAATGAGATCCTATAGATTTTTACAGTGCTTTTACTCAAAATGCTAGCAAGTATTGTAATTAAAACAATTCTCTAGAAATTAATAATTATAATTAATTTTATTTAGTAATATATTGTTTTTAAATATTTATATGTATACTTCTTAAAGAAAAAAAACTTTAATGCAATGTGCAATAATGGATGTGCATTCGATGTTTAAAGGAACTTACTTAAAAAAGAGTTACATTTTAAATGTTTTAAGCGGTGATTGTTAAATTTTAAGATTCATATTAAAGAGTCATAAAACATACTCAATTTATTAGTATCCGATACTGAAGGTGTCAGTTGATTAACACTATTTAACCTGTCTACACTATTGATATAAATACTGTAAAAAGAATCGAAAATAAAGTTCCATAGAGAGAGCTACAAAAAGGAGTTGTAAACACATACATCTGTATGAATTCGCCTTTTTACAGGAATATGGGACTGCGAAACTGTTATAAGTTATTAAAAAAAAAAACAAAACTGTTAACATGTACCCTTCAAAGTAAACAACAGAAATGCTGATGTCTTCTATAAATAACACTTACGCCTTAGTTAGTCTTTCTTCTTTGGCTTTTTAGGATTACGTGATCGAGATTTAGCTTTACAAAGAGGACAAATGGGGGCATTTCTGTGAATTTGTTGATGGCAAGATAAACATGATTTCATTGGGGGTGGTTGTTGCCTGAAAACAGAAAAAGAAAATATAGAAGAAGTATGGCACTTCGCATTCATGTATTTCTGTTATGTATCATTGTTACTATTGATAGAATTCTTGCGATTGATTTCGTGATTTGTATACTGTGTTGTAAAGTAGGATTAGTATTCGCATGCTTTGTTATGTAAAAATATAATACAAAGTTGAGATATACCAGTGGTACCTGAATGTTGGAGCTGGTGGACCTGGCGCTGGGGGTAATGGTCTTGGTTCTGGTTTACTTGGACCTTGAAGGGGTTGAGGGGCAAGGAAAGTTGTGGAACCACCTGGGTGACCGTGATGGTGTAAAGAGAGTGGAGGTAATAAATCTTCACCCCGTACTTCCACCCTCCATTCTGCTTTCTGCATAGGACGGTCGAAATAGCTGCGGACAAACCATCTACGCGATAAAAGTCTAACTTTAACATTACGATACTTACACTTTCAATACAATGTATTTAACCGAGTACTCTAGAATACGTCCGTGAGTAGCTTCGTTAAAGATAATAATTCTTAAACCAGCATTTAGGAAACCAGTATACTTACTCTGGTGAAATGAGATCTGATTCTGTTTCATATAACTCTGGTAACCTTTCTAATCCTAGGAATTCTCTGCGCATACGATCAATATCATGTTTCAAAGGTTGATAATCATTATTATGAATCAACTTTGCAGTTTCCCTGGATTTATTTCTGGCTTCCTCTGCCTGTTTAATAACAGCTTCCATCTGCAGCAGTTATGTAAACAATTACACCTTTGATTTATTTGAAAGCCGACATTAGAACTATGCTCGTTTATACCGCATTAATATCTGCATGGATTTGCCGTAATTCTTCTACATGTGCCATTTTTTCTTGCATAAGAAGATCCATTTCCTGTTTGTATTCCAGCAAACATTTCTCTTCTTGCTCAGTCTGTTCCACTTCGTGTAAGATCCTCTGCTTCATTTTCTCTAGCTGAAGAGTTTTTGCTCTGACAAAACATTTGAAAATCGTTATTGGGTTTTCATTTCATTTGAAACATGATGGAAATCTTAATAGTGTTGTCGCCAAGCACAACTGATGGATCTATTGTACATATTCCTCCAAGAGGTAGGAGTATTGGAGGATTATTTCCCTCCTTTAACCATCAGTTGTACTAGGCCATACAATTTATTTGATTAAAATGTCCGTAAATTAAATTTGCATAAACATACACAGTGTGTTGCAAAGGTAATTCAAAAGTGGAGTCTCAATAGCTATACAGGCATTTCTGAGGTCGCCTCTTTCAATGTAAAGGTTTAGAAGACACCACCTGTCCATCTGTGACACAACTTTTGAATCATCCTGTATAGACGCTATGAAAATAGGCGATATCGATTCCCATAAACTTTGTATTAAAATTCAATTGATTTTCGAAAGTTAAGAGTGAGCGATTACTTGATATCTTTTAGCGCCTCGAGTTTCGCGAAAATGACCGTAGTTTCAGTGGCGGACATTCTCAGATGGTTTCTGACACTTTTGTTCCGGTGTGCCCTGTCAAACGGGAGAAGACCCAACTTGTTTACGATATAAATGCAGCTTGATTCAGCGGCGGTGCACTTTTCGTCAAAGCATCGCGGACGGGACGGTTTCAGCGAGATCGAGAAACGGCACTATGTGTTTTTCTTAGTGTCATTGAGAACCGAATGTAATTGTTGGACTGTGCGATTCTATTTTGAAAAAAATGAACCAACACCGTTGACGTGCAACAAAATGAACATAATTCACGGCCATAAGCCGCGAGAGTAGTCGCTTTGTAGATCAGGAACGTTCGATCATTGTCCATCAGACGGATGCACGCGCCGTGCAGCGATGCATCGACAAACTAAGATGAAAAAGGCGGTTTATTTTAAAAAAAAACTACAACAGATCACAATGGGCAGGAGATTAGACAGATTCGACTAGAAAATCATATCGTTATCAGGGGAATTAATCTTGTCTATATAAATAAAGCAAATGAAGGTGAAGAACAATATATATATAAAGAAGAAATTCCTAAAAGCTTTTAGTAAAATGAACAGCCTTCACTAAAAGTGAAATAAAAACCTCACTGAATCTTAGACTTTTTTTTCAGAGAATGTATATTGTAAATGCATACAATATGCAGTCTAATTGTAAGGTATTGTTGAAGTAAGTTTGTCGACTCGTATTGTTATTAAAGATATAAAAACAGGAAAATAGTATGAAATTACCTTTGAACAGATGTACGATCTCTTGGATTATTGGGTATGTCATTATGAATATGTGCATAGTTTATTGCAATTGCCATTGGAACATGACCTGTAGAGCCATGCACACAGCCTGGACAAAGGTACATGTTGAGATATCTGTACGTGACCGAACGTATGAGTCCCTGGTACATTAATAAACAAAAAAATCACCGTGAAAAGTACTTATTCCGTGATGAAACATTTCTCTGAATAATTATTTTATGAAACACTAAAACCAAAGGTTCAGCATCTCTGGCATCCCATTTGTTCCGCCATTTTGGAGTTTCGCGATGTTCCCACGCGACGTGATTTTCTCTGTTAAAGAACGCACTGCCCAGTACGATCCATTTCATAAGGTTCAGTTTCGCTGAAAACAGTGCAGTCTATTTTTACTCGAAATCATTTCAATCAAACAAACGCAACACTGGATACAGTACATCAACGAACGCCTCGCAGTTTGAATGGCACGGGGATGGCTTCAGGTAACGGAAGAACCTGTCCGAATGGGACCCATGAATTAACTCGAACATTATAGTGTAATATTTAAATATTACGTCGGGTTCATTGTATCAATCCACGAGTCAGCGAAGAGTGACATTTATCGAACCCCCGAGGTCTCTATCGGTTATGATCTATCCGTGTTATCAACTAGTTAATAGAGTTTCTCGTGGCAGTTACACAATACATACATCGGGGGATCATTAACCCTTCAACTCACAGTGTTGCACCGGTGCAACATTCATTTTATAAGTGCATAAATCGCCGGATAATATTTAATTCTTGCCAGTAAGGATCTGTACTTTCACTGATATGAAGTAGATCTTCACGTTTTCAGCTGGGAATTTCAAGTATTTCCTCCGAAAATAAATAAAAAAAGAAAAAAGATGGAACAAAAAATAGGATTGGTAATAAATGACTACAGTGAAGAGGTGAACAGTTAAATTTGCAAATTCTTTAAAATAAAACTCACGAAGTCTCAACTAAATTTACCTAAACATGACAGAACAACATCATTTCCCAGGAGAAAAATGCGTCAAATTAGCAGAAGGGACGGATGGGTTTCATAACTTTGAAATAACGATTTAAGGGCCTGGGTGTTAAAGGGTTAGGCGGCCCACAGACGATACGATTTATTATACAGACTCCTCTCGATTATTGTCCCGAACTTGGATCCGCGCTGGACAATGAATTCCTTTTTCGAGGGCCGAAAAGTATGCTTTTGACAGGTTCCATGACCTCCCCCAATGGTGGGGATAACGCTTGGACAATAATCGTGTCGAACAAGCCAATCGCGGGAAATCTATACAACTGATCGTAGAACCTAGGACGCTTCGACCGTCTGCACAATAATCGCAACGTTTATGGCGCGGCCGTACGACCTGTAGAAAATACCAACAGGCTGAAAATCTGTCGTTTCAACCATTTCTGTACAACTCCCTACGCACCATGTCGTACAACAAATCGTATCGTCTATGGGAGCCTTTAGGATCGCGTGGTCCGTTATCGGTGTCGTTTGATCTGGATCGCGGCGGATCGACGTGCGCGGCTGACGGCAAAGAAATGATTAATCGGTCGGTCGGGATCTGTTATCAGCTCGTTGACGAGGACGCGTATACCAAATTCGTATGGTTTGTTATCTCGAGACGGCGAGAGGAGAGAACACAACGGCCGTGACCGGATAAAGCTCTATCGTTTCGCGAAAGAAGAGGAGGAGGAGTAAGGGCCTCCGTGGAACACGGGAGATCGGTTTTCGTCGCGTTGATAGACGAATGCCAATCGCCGGGGCGGCCCAGTTGTCTGAACTTTTATAATAATCCAGATAAGAAGGAGAAGCTAAGGGAAAAGCGGGACGTTGTGTCGTCGTCGGCTGTGTGGCCTCATAGACGGCCTCGTCTCGGTCGTCTGCTCTGTCTGCCCCAGCTTTTCGTCGTTCGTCGCCCGTTGCACATCCCAGTCCTCCTTCTACTTAGCACGGAGCAGAGAAACTTGTGCAGTTCGTGTGACTAAGCACCGAGAAAACTTTCGAGTGTCTCTCCGTCGAAGCTCTCCTCCTCAGCGACTGAGACGAGAAAGGTGCCGCGAATATAGGACAAAGGATAGTGGCCCAGGGAGTCCGCAGAGTCGTCACACACCACCCTGTATTTCGACGGTGCTCCACGACGGGGGGAAGATTTTGGCTGTTTTAAACGGAACCCATCGGCAAACGTCAATCCTACCGCGGTGCGAAAGAGAGTGCATTAAACGAGTTTCTGCGGGACGGAGGCAACATGGGGACTAGAATGGGGTCCAGAATGGGGTCCAGAATGGGCTCTCGAATGTAAGTAATTTCTATCGGCGAGTTTCTCTAACGGATTCGAAAGTTTCGTACCTATCGAGTCTGATGAGTCTCGACGCGAGTCCCCACGGTTGTTTACAGTCGATATAAATCGTGTGCAAAGCCGAAAAAGATCGTGGTTAATTTACACTTTCGAGCCATTTATGAACCAATTTTTTTAGACATGAATATAGAATTTATTATAATAAAAGAACCTTCTTTTGTGCTATCGATCATGTTAGACGGTCTAAACACTCTAAACAGTCCGGTATCATACGATCGTAGAATATTTTCCGAATTTGTCAGTTGATTAGATTCCTATCTAGAAATCTATTGGTCGGTCGAAACGTCGAATGTCAATGTGTATTTAAGTTTTCTTTTGGCAGTGAAGTGTATGTAATTCTTGTCCCTCGTGATCGAAGAGGATCTATACGCGCTATCCCCCACCGATTATATCCATTTTACTTCGATCATAGAATTTCTTTTTTCCGATCGTCAACCTCTTGATTGTCGTTTGCCCAGCCTTTTAACGCTTTAAATCGATCTGACTTTATAATTTTCCCGGCACAAAAGAATACCATACATCTGACGATTAATTCCTTCTCGCGTGATCGTTGAATCATTCCTCGCCGTCTGAACGATCGTTGATCGAGGTCTGGTACACGGCCAGGCCTGGATCGAATCGCGGGGTCGACGCACCGTAATATTCTCTCTTTAAATTATCCAGAAATAATCAGCCGCCCTTGTACCTTTCGTTACAATGATCGCCGTAACCACGACTGTGGCGGTTACGTGTGAATATTTATCAGCCAGCGCATACGGAGCTCGTCGCGACCGCGTGTTCTTTTTTATCGGTCTGTCGTTTTTCTGTTTGTCTTTTTCAAAACACCAGCCGCGATACGTATACTGTACTGATACACACAGCCGGTTAATCGACCATGCGACGTTCATAAAGCACACACGAACGACCACGGACGTAAAGAATATACAGTTGGTAACAAAAGTATTCGAACACCCATTAAAGCAGAACACCTTTTTTTCGAAATTGCTCCAAGTGATTTGAATTGTTTTGTGAAGTTTGGAATATTAGTTTACTATATAAGTATGTATATAACTAATATAAGTCTTCGATATGTATTTATTAAATTTTCATTACAGCCTCGGATTAAAAATTGTAAAAAGCGACCTTTATTGTTTTCTTCGCGATTCCGACCAATTGCAACTTGGTCAATTTTGTTTACACATAATTTAGTAAACTAGTGTCCCTAACTTCACAAATGAATTCACGTCATTTGGACCAATTTTAAAATAGTTGTTTTGTTTTAAAGAGGGTTCGAATATTTTTGTTGCCCACTGTATATGTTACAGTGAAAGCGTTAATTCAGTAAATGTATGCATTTTCTAGATAATGTATGCACTTAATGATATGGTTAGTAAATATATTTGTTACAGTAAAAGCGTTAATTAAGTAAATGTATACATTTCCTAGTCAATGTATGCACTTACTAATCTGGTTAGTATAAATGTATTCACAAGGAACGAAAATTATACTTTTACTAGTAAATGTATTACACATTTCCATTTTTTATTTAGTAACAGTATGCACAAACAAAAATGCATTAATTACAATAAACACTTTTGCTAGCATTTGTTCATACGAATCGTATAACTTCTAAATTTTTGTTTAATAGGGTCGCGTCTTTACATTTTACATAGGTAGTTAATTTTACAATTGGGATTAGTGAATAAATGGGGTGAGAAATTAGTTGGCGTTCGACGCGATCGAAGTCATTATGTAGAATCGTCCGATGGGACATAAGCGTTTCGTAATGAGAATGCTTGTAATGATCATTTCGCTTGTCCTACATCCTTACCGATCCCAACGAGTCGCCCTACATTTTCATAAATTTCCTACGTATTTATTCTATTCGCCCGTAACGATGAAAGTTACAAGGGTGCTTTTGCAAATAATCAGTTTTTCAACTTTTAACGATCCTCTAATGTCTCGCTCGCCCGTCTGATACGAAAAGTATCGATAAATCGTTTCAGTCGGCACTGTCCATTAGCGACGTGTACTTATCGTTTACGATTGTTTCCGGTGTCGTCATTGAACGCGACAATAAACAACCGTTTTTCGTGAAATCTTTTTAGTACTAATTTGATTATGGTATGCCACTTTGTGGCTTGAGTGCTGTAGAACGTTAAAAAGCAATTACGACGGCGGATAATAAGAATTTGTGGTTCGTTAGAGCTTCGTTCGTGTAAATGCTCGACAAATTGTAGAAGGTAGCAGTGTAACGAAGCTAAGAAACAACTAATGACGCGAAGAAAAACTGAATGGATTCTACCACAAGCTGCTAGAATTTATCTTGGATGGATTAATCTTAATCTCGAACAGTTACTTATCGGCTTCTTTATATGTGTTGTATTATTGCTCTCTTTATACACGTGTCAATTAAACATTTCTCGTACACGTTTCAATGTGTAAATATCGATAAAATTTTCGGGCCATTCGTCGAAGTCACCAATGTGAATGATTGAAAGCATACAAGCTGATGCCAGTGAAATGCATCGATTAAATATTGAGACAGCTGTTTCCCGAATGTTGACGTTGTTCCAACGTCTAAGGCGTATTAACCTGAGAAAGGTAATATGTTGAAGAGGTTTACCTGAACAGGTGCTCTTCAAGATATCTATAGAAAGATATGTCCTAATTTAAACAGAATAAACAATCGATGAATTGCCTCAATTAATTCCTTCCAGACTGGCTTATCTGTGCCCGGATCGACGAGTATCAGGATAGATAGTAAAATATACAGTGATTCCTCGATGAATGCACTATGAGCAATGGCGTTAGGTCTGGGGTACGTTAAGTTGAAATAAAATCTAAAACTTAACATTAAATATTTCATAACTAATAAATGAAATAATCCATAACAAATATTATTGGCTTCAAAAGATTCTATGTTCTATCACTGTGCTAAACAGCATTGAAAAGTCAGCGTTGGGACTTCTCCCTGTCAGTGCCGAGAAGCCTTCGAACACTCATCGACGATTTACTGCATTCTCAAAAAAAAATCACTGCCTTATAAAACAACCCTCGTACATATACTGCTGCATATTTCTTTTCTCTTACAGTAATTGTTTCTTTATATGTTTTCTTGCTTGATCCCAAAATATTCTGTTAAAATTATGAATATATGTTTTTGGTATTACCTAAATTTTACTCCAAACAGCAAATGCAAATTTTCACAACATACTCGTCATTAAACAAAAAAATGCCATCATTTCGTGTCGAGTGCACACAAACGTTGAAAGGGTTAAACCAGCATCCCGAGCAATCACTGCCCGTCGTTCCGTTTTCGCGGAACAGAGAATCCCTTTCAACGAACGGGCCCGCACACAAATCAATCGCCGGAACACGCGTAACCCGAACACACGGGAGTTAAGTTCTGCAAACATTTCGAAGGTCGGTTTTGAGGTGACTGCCTAACGATTTCCCCGGCCGCGAATTAGCCAGCGAGCCGTAACGGCAAGGTAAATGAGCCCCCCCCCCCTCCAACTTTGTCGCGGGCAGGCAGGCCCACAATTTCCATTCAACACGGACCGTTCCGTTCTGTGCGGACCGAATGATTGTACCCAAGCCCTGTTCGTTGCCAAACGTCCTCGTTGTGTCTTGTTCAGCCGTGAAAAAGTTCGCGAGGCTACGAGACACGAATCACAGCTCGCCAATACCAAGTTCGCGGCAGGCCTCGACACGTGACTGATTTTACTCGCATAGGGACAAAGTCTCGAACATGTATCGTCGGTTTGTTCGTTTAAATCGTTAGTTGTACCGGGAAATAATGTCGTATTTTGCGATGTATGTCTTTTTAACCTTCTAAAGTAACATCAGGTAAGTTTAATCGAAGTTTTTTATATTCCAATATACGAGTTCACATGGAAAAAAGTTGCTCGTATCGAAAAGTGCGTTCCCTGGATACCATTTAACTTTCGTCTGAACAGATTTTTTAATATCGTCGATAGTTTCGGAGATATTCGGGTGGGTCGATTTAAATGGAATATCTAAAATCTTTAAAAATTGAAATTTATTTTAAATGAAATGAAATAATATTTAATCGTAACAAAATGGAAGGTACAGAATGGGGCCCCTTGTAACGTGGGGCCCAGGGCTACAACCCCGCCTAAAGACTCCCTTAATCCGGCGCTGTTTACTCGGGAACGGGCATTACGGTACCTTTGGAACCAATTGTCAGTGAAGGATTAGTGGAACGATTGTCGAGTTCGCATAAATCTTAAAACAAATGCAAATTATCATTGTGCAAACAGCTTATTGTCGCTTTGTATACTGTGTGCAGTCCCCTTCGCAATGGCCACGATAACCGTCCGGTATCGTTCGTAATTGTTTTTCTTTCACTCGTCCTACGGTCGTACGTTTCTTTCGTGTTTTATTTGGGTCACGGGAGTTGTATGTAATTTCGAACAAACGGGAACGGTGGAGACAAATATTTACGCGGCGAACAATTCTCGATCTCCTTACATTCTGTTCACCGACGTTGTACGACAAATAATTTCTTCCTCTTGATACAATATCATCGTCGTTCCTCTGGATCGAACACGGTGTCCGTTTAAAAGTGTCTGTCCACTTGATTTCAGACACGGAAAGCTTCGTGTTCACTTGATTGTTATTTGCCGATGAAAACAGCGAATTCAGAAGGAAGAACGTTAGAAGGACGATGATGTTCACGTGTCACGATTTGCAATGAGTCTATCAAACACGAATCGTACAGTTTGTGTATATTTATTTGAAATATTGATGATGTAAGGACGTTGAAACAATTATTCGACGTGACTAGCACACGTTCGAGCTTGAATGCAACATCAATGACGGAACAGACTCTTATCGACAATTTGACGAATCTTTAATGAGTCACGTTTCGATACAACAGATGTATCGCGCTGGAGTGTCGTTATTTTTTTTTTTTTTTACGTTAGTTATCGCT